AGAAAACAAAGATAACTTAGAGAAAATGAAAAATGCATGCTGGGCTGCATGGTGGCACTTTCGAAGTACAGATCAAAACCCACATCATTGTCTTTGCAATCCTGACCGTTGTGGCATGTACAAAGATTCAAAATTCACACATGAAGGTGTAGAGTTTTCTCTAATACACTTTATTTCTACAGAGATATCTCAAACGTTTGTTCTTAGGACACAATCTACCAGCTACTGTATGTGACGCAATTCGTCCTGCTTACGATGATTTGTGTTCAGAAAACAGCCTAGGTAACAGCTTTTAACATACGCTATTTCTTTCCTCTGTCAAAATCTCTAAATTTTAGCTCAAGTTTTGGATGGCGGTACCACTAATCCTAATGAGAGTTTCCATCGTATTATTTGGAGTTTGTGCTCAAAAAAGAGATATCACATTCGAAAACATGTTCAACTAGCGGTTGATCTGACTGTTATTATTTATAATGACTGTTATATTGGACTAACTCCTGTTTTAGAAAAACTCGGTATACAATGTAAAAATATTCCAGCATTTACCAAAATGATAACATTAGTCGACAAAGAAAGAATCATTGAAGATCAGCAATATGAACCTGAACGGCGGCATGAGAAACGCACAAGAGCTCGTACATCACGGTTGCTAATAGAATCTACTTTAAGATCAAAAGATCCGAACAAATATGGGCCCGGAATTGGATAAAAAGTTATACTTTGGTGCTCCCACTTCTTCTAAATAGAAACTTGTTGTTACCTTGTTATCGCTTTCGCTGAGCTTTGTTGTTGTTTATTTTCTAATTTTTTCATCACCCCATCGGTTGATAGAACAGTAGCACTTGGTGGAATTGCGATCTCGTTATCAGTATCTTCATTGTCACTTCCTATGGTTGCTATTTTCCTTTTCGTCACAGAGTATCGAGCAGTCGTTTTACTATTGTTACGATTACCAGCCATTTTGAACCAAGTTTGTATGATAAGTGTGTTTATATCTGTGAATTAAGAGTGACTGCACTTTTATCTTTTATAATGCGCCGTCTGAAATTATGGATAAATCGAAGTAAGAGCGAGAGACATATAAAATTCAGAGATTTTCTAGAGATCCGCTGGAGATCTCCTGGAGAATCTAAAAGCTTACAACACGTAGCTTCTTATCTGAACAAGTCTGTTTGGCGCATAGACCTAGAAAAATACAGTTCTGTGTGGTAAAAGGATAATCTCAAAGCTCACAATACATAATTCCTTGTGAAATTTTCATCGTGAATGTTTTGCATGTGCTTTTCGAAAGCGAATAAGAAAAAACAGAATAAGTAAAAATGAATATACGACGTCAGATCACGCATACAGCACATGTATCAATATACGAATGTATATTACGTAATATACGAATAAAGCTTGAAAAAATAGCAAGTTTATTCCATCCTGCCAAAACACTTAGAAACTAATAGAAATTCGGAAGTTTTCTGGAGATCCGCTGGGATCTTCTGGCGAATCCGAACGCTTACAACACGCAGTTGCTTGTCTGAACAAATCTATTTGGTACATAGACCTAAAAAACCGCAGCTCAGTGTGGTAAAAGTGCATTTTGTATTTGTTCGAAATTGTTAATTTTTCCTTGAAAGATAGGTTTAAGAGTATGATGCTTTTCATTTAAAACGTCCTTTATTGCTCGAGCGCATTCGTAACCATGACTGAGTAAATTATCTACAATACTTTTATATATTGATAAAATAAGCATCATATTGGTTATTCGAATAGTTGGGAAGTCTTTCTAATTGTTTTAAACTGTGTCCTAATTCAGATCTCAATTGTTCATTCTTAATCGATTCATGGGTAGTTAATAACTGCTAAAAATCTTGTTCAAAATGATTAAACGCTATCAGAGCAGTACGGCGAAACGTTAACAAACTCGACGTATAATCTTCTGTTGTATCAAGAATACACTGGCGTAAGCATTCACTAATTTCTGTAATACCCTTTTCGTCTTTATCTTGCAGAAAACTGTCACATTTTGTTAAAATATTAGATAATTTTCCATTTTGAAAAATGTTAACAATTTTTTTAATATTATTAACACTATTATTCTGTGTTAGATGATCAAAAATTTCGTTTTGAATTCTAGCATTCGTAGAAAAAACTTCTTGTTCAAATAAATGATCATATCTATGATGTAAACATTGTCGAAATAGTTGACTAAATTCAGGTAAAACTTCTTCAACGTTAGCAAATCGTCTTAACATCTTAGTTAAATTATCAATTTTCATTGGTAAATATGCACCATGACTATGATTAGTATTTTCCAGTTGTGTACGCACAGAATTAATGACATCGGTGGGTATTGTACTCTTTTTCTCATGAAAAAACTCGATTACTTTTTTATAGATAGCAATCGCTGAATTATAACTGACATTTCTCGCATTTACTAAATTTGAATAAGACATTGCTCGATTTGCCAATTTCTCACTAGCTGTTTTCATTTTAATAGTATTTCGAACAGAACTGAGTAAAAATTGATGTAACTCTTTTTCAAAAAGTTCCATAGAAAGTAAAGATTTATGTCGAAATGATGCTAAACTATTCATATAATCATCAACTCTATTCATCATAGTTTGTCTAAGGGATGCCGTCACATTGTTCATCGCTTTAATCGCTTAAAGCGCTTTCTATATTTGATAGATTTATTCACAGAAACGAAAAAAGAAAAGTAAGAAACGATAGAGAGTGAACCAGAGATTTTTTCCTAAAATAGAAGAAAAGAATGTTATAATCTGCCTTCCCCGGCAGCTCATAAAGTTCATTCTCTCTCCATTCTGCTCTTGTACCACTCTTGCGCAATTATGTTACTGCGCAACTCTTGTTTCATTCTTTTGTTTTCGTTTCCTTCCGCAGTGTGTTTTCCCAACTCTTTCTATTCTTGCGCAACACTTGCGTCATCCTGTGGTTTTCCTAACTCTTTCTGTTCTTATGTAACTCATGCGCAACTCTTGTTTAACTTTTATACTACATATAGCCGTTCATTTGCTTCAAATAAAGAGATCGGAGTAAGAGTTGATTCTCTTCTTTCTCTTCTTCACTTCTACGATTAGAATTAGCCACTAGAGGATCCATATCCTCACAGAGAACAGAAAAGAACGATATAACGCTGATATATGAGATATACGATAGATATTGCTTCTAAGTTTTAACTTTTTTTTGCTTTTGATCCGAATGTTCGCTGCACTCGCTATAAAATTACTCTATATTCTGTGAACTTAACAGATTAAAATAAAACTAACTGGAATGTACACCTCTTCGTTTTCTATGTCAGTTTGAAGTACACAAGATATACTATACGCCGAGTCATTTTTTAGAAAAGGGTACAGTCTACTTTATGAGATACAGGGCTGTCAATAACGGAGCCGAATATGAGACATAGATGTACTTTCTCTGCCAATTAACAAGCGAAATCATTTGTTAAGGAGTTCTTGACTAGTATGACTTTCCGGCTTTCTCTTTGGGTCATGGTAGTCTTAATTCTGCAT